ACTCGATTAGGGTTTGCAGTTTGACTGCTCCTGGTAGGGTTGCTGTTCTTGCTAGGGTTGCTGCGGCGGCTTGAGTGACGTAGGGATACTGTTAATGCGTTCTCGGGTCGCTCGGCATACAGTATCCCCTGGCTTTTGTTTAGTGCGAGTGCTTTTTCTGCTTTTCGTTCCGGGTGCCCTACCTCCGCCCGCACGTGTCTTCGCAGCCTGCAAACCATGAATCTCAACCATCCATTACTCATCCACTTGACCCCGTCCTAGTCGCCATGGAAATTTCGACTTCATCGCGGCGCGCCTTCGTACCGCGCGCTACAGGCGAGCCTGCCTCCTCTCTCGCATCTCTCCCCACTGTCGCCTCCGCACCTCCCACCGCCGCTTCCGGCGTCTCTGGCGCCGCCTCTAGGGAAGATTCCGTCGCCGCGGCGTCGAATCCCGGATGCTCTAATCCGGGCACGCGGTGGCGGGCAGCCGGGCAGCGAAAGAAAAAGCCGCCGAGGACCGTAGGGCAGGGGAAACGGGCAGCAGAAGAGATGGAAGAGGATAGCGAGGGGGAGAGCGAGGGGGAAGAGGAGGAGGGAGCAGAGGGAGGCGAGACGAAAAAGCAAACAAGAAACGGGGTGAGGGGGAAGGGGAAGGGAGAGTCCCCCGAGGGAAGCGGAGGTGTGCTCTATCTGCCCTGGATGTCGTGGACGTGCGCTCGGACGAACGGTCCCACTGCAAGGCTCAAGTGCGGCCATTCCTTTCACCTGGGTGAGCATTCACCCGGGTGAGCCCACCACTACCCCTCTGAGTGCACCTTCCATTGGGGGCCCGGGCTTTCTCTGCCGGTCGTGAGCGCGTGTCGCACGCGCTCAAGTCCGTCACCTGAGTGTCGCACGCGCTCGAGTCCGTCACCTGAGTGAGCGCGGGCGTGACGCCGTGAGTCAGAGTGGGAAGCGGAGGTGCGCTCTATCCACCGCGCTCGCACGAACGGTCTACCACCTAGGTCCTCCACCGCGCGACTAAAATGTGGCCATACCTTCCACCTAGGTCCCCCTCTCCCTCCCCTGACTGCATCAGCTCCGCCTTCAACGCCAAGCGCCGCGTGCAGTGCCCAACTGCTTTCCGTTCTCCCTTGACCCCCCTCTTCTGCCCTCCTCTGCCCAATAACTCCCCCTCTTCCTCCCCCCCCCCTCCCCCCCCCCTTATCCCAGACTGCATCGGCTCCGCCTTCAACGCCAAGCGCCGCATGCAGTGCCCCAACTGCCGCAGCGAGGAGCACGGCCACTGGCTCTTCGCGTCCGGCCCCTCGGGCCCCTCTCGCCCGCCCCCGGCTCTGCTGCTGACATTGCCGCTGCTGCCATTTCTGCTGGCTTGGATGCCGCTGCTGTGGCTGATTTCGCTGCTGCAGCGGGGGTGGAGGTGGGGGGGGAGCGGACGTGGGGTGGGTGGAGGTTGGGGGGGCGGAGGGTCGTGGGGGGAGGAGGGGTCGTTGGAGGAATACGCGTTTGAGGAGGATCCGGAGCTGTTTATGAGGCATGTGCATGAGGTGGACCTGCCCGCTGCCCCCGTGGGTTGATGACGAGGTGAAGGGGGGGGGGATGGGCGAGTTGGGGACGTGGTGTGCGGTATGTTACATGTATGTGGGGGGCTGGGAACCCATGTGCATGAGGTGGTCCTGCCCCTGCCCCCGTGGGCCGATGGGGGGATGGGGGATCCGGGATGGGGGATGGGAGGTTGTGGGAGAGTTGGGGGAAGGTTAGGGGAGTGAGGGTAATAAGAGTGGGGTTTTTAAGGGCGTGTGCATGAGGTGCAGCGTGCACCTGCCGCTGCCCCTCCGGGTGGATGACGAGGTATGTGTGTGGGAGATGGAGGGTTGGGGAGAGTTGGGGCAAGGTTGGGTAGGGGGAGAGTGGGGATGATGGGAGTGGGTTGTCACAAGGCATGTGCGCGAGGTGGTCCTGCCTCTGCTGCTCCGAACTGATGACGACGACGTAGGTGGGGTGGGGGGGGGTTGGGGGGGGAGGTGGGGCGGGGGGGCTGGAGATGGGAGAGGTGGGGAGAACCTGGGGTAAGGAGGCATGTGCATGAGCTGGCCCTGCCTCTGCCGCTCTGGGCGGATGACGAGGTATGTGTACTACGGGGGATGGGAGAGTTGGAGACGTGGCGTGGGGAAAAATGGGAGTGCTGCCGATGGGGGAAGGGGGATCAAGTCGGGGAAGATGGGGAGAAGGGGGGTTGGGAGGGGGGTGGGGGGGGTGGGGGGGTTAGGGAGGGAAGGGAGGTGAAGGGATTTGGGGGGGGATGTGAGTGAGGCATGGGGAGGGATGGTCACGAGGTCTCGCCCCTCCCAACTGTGCGCATCAATGGTTTTCTGGCCATCTTACTTTCTCTCTATCCCAAACAGTCCGTCTCCCTCCTTGTGTCCCAATCCAATCTCTTCCTGCTATATACCCATGTGTCCACGACGACCCAGCTCTACGAGCCAGGCCCGTTCATCTTCACGCGGCACGGGTTGAGTGCTGCAGACGTGGAGGTATGTGCTGCTGGGGTGATGCGTGATGGGGCGAGGGGGCAATGGGTGGTCTGTCACACGGTCTCTACCTTTGAGCCAGGCAGGCCCGGTCATCTACACGCGGCACGTGTTGAGTGCTGCAGACGTGGAGGTATGTGCTGCTGGGGTGATGAGGGGATGGGGCGATGGATGATGGATGATGGATGATGGGATGGTGTGGTGATGGGGTGATGGGTTGATGGGTTGATGGGGTGATGGGGATCGGTGGTGGGGTGCCGGGATGATGGGGTGATAATTATGATGTACCCGTTGTGATGCGATGCGATACGGATTGTTTTCCGTTGAGCTTAGAAAAGGGAGGCGGTGCGAGCTTTTAGAATATGGACGAGGGGGGCGATATAGCAATTTTGTCAAAGCAGCGGGCGCTGTGTTGTCAAAGTGCCGTTGTCTCCATTGTCGAGTCAAAGTGCGAAAATGGAGGCACCACCTTCTTTTGAGTTGAGTCATCCTCGCTCACCTCTTTTTTTTTCTTTTTTTTTTTCCGAGTATAGTCTGTCGAAATCCATTTCTTTTCATGCAGAATCTTTGTCTCTTCTCACTATCGCTTGCACATCCTCGTCCACTCCCTCCCACTCACACACTCTCTCTCTCCCTCCCTTCACCCTCCCCTTTTCCCCCTATCCCCCCCACCCTGTCAGATGTATCACAATGCCGGTCATTCGTCTCATGCAGGTTACACGGGCGCCTATGGCGCCTCTCTCCCGTCGGTCCATCTTTGGTAAGACTGCACGTTCGTGTGCACACCTCGTTTGCACACCTCGTTGGCACACCTCGTTTGCCTGCCACGAATCTCATGACTGCCTGCCAATCCTGCCTTCGGAAGTTGGTAGCATGACATGGCATGGCATGGCATGTGTTGTTCTTACACCCAGACTTCTGTGCTACTCTGCTGTGCTGTGCTGTGCTGTGCTGTGCTGTGTTGTGCTGTGTGGTGCTGTGTTGTGTGGCAGGACGCGGTACGACCCCCATCGATACAATCACCACCAGCTTGAGCATGCCATGCATGTCATGCCATCGATTCCTGATGATGGTGGGTGCACCATGCATACCATGCCATGCTCTGCTGTGCTAGGCGCGTGCATTGTTGTGATTTCTTATGCATTTGCGGCGCTACCTCCCCCCTCATCCCTTGATACCCCGCTATGCTGCCCTCTTATGTATCGGTCCAATGACCGCTGCTTTCCCCCTCTCCCCACTCTCTCCCTTGATACCCCGCCATGCTGCCCTCCTCTGCATCGTGCATTCCTGTCCAATGACAACTGTTTTCCCCCTCCCCCCCCCTCTCCCCCTTCCCCTCTCAGCTCGTCTCTTTGGTTGGCGTGCAGGTGGGGGAGGAGGAGGTGGAGAAAGAGGAGGAGAAGGAGGAAGAGGAGGTAGAGGAGACGCTGCAACTGCCGGGGTAGAGGGAGGGGGAGGAGGGTGGCAGGAAGTGAATACAGGCGCTGCAAGGGAAGGACGGTGGCTGGGAGCAGGAAGAATCGGATGGGAAACCGATCCTTCCAACCCCGCCCTTCCCCTCAACCCCTCCTATTCTCCGTATCCCTCCAACCCTTCCCATCCCGCCAGTTCTTCCCACCCCCTCCCTCCGCCTACCCATCCGCATGCCTCTGGGTGCCCCTACCTTGCGGCAGCAGCTGCTGCATACTCTGCTGCCCCACCCCCTTCCTCTTCCCATTCCGTTCACCCTCCTCCCTCTGCCTATGGCGCTGGCCTCTCCTCCTTGGCACAACCATCAGGACCACAACCGCATCCTCCCCCCCTCCCTCGTGCACATGCCCCCTCTGCCCCCTCTGCTCCCTCGGCTCCTTTTTACCACCCGCTCTTCCCCTCCCCTTCCCACCAGCACCAGCACCAGCACCAGCACCACCCCCTAGCCCACCGCACGCACCACCATCCGTCTTCCTACCCATCCGCCCCGGGCGGGGTTTCTGGGGCAAATGCCGGCCAGCCTATGGAGTGGGACAATGCCACCCCTGCTGCTGCCGCCGCTGCCGCTGCTGCTGCTGCAGCTGCCACTGCTGGTGCTCTTGCTGCTGCTGCCACCGCTGGTACTGCTGGCGGTGGTGCTGCTGCTGGCGGTGGGGGTGTTAACGATGCATGGGGTGCGCGTGCTGCAGGGGGCGCTAGGCCCTGGTGGCAGGAGGGCTTTCCTCCCTCTAGCATACCGCGAGGCAGGAGAAGGGTGGGAGTGTGGGAGGGAAGACCAGTACTGGCCGATGGTGACTATAACGAATGGATGAGGGGAACGAGGGAGCGGGAACTCGCGCCCGCCCCTTCCTCCCTCTCTCCACCACCCCCTCCTCCTCTCGATCCCTCTGCACCTCTCTCCCATCCTCTCCAGCGCGCCATGGCTCCTTCCTCTCTTCCTTCTCCTCCCCCCCCATCCGCCTATTACTCTCGCACACGTTCCTTGCCGCCGCAGCAGGCCAACTACACAGCATCAGGCGGCGCAGAGATGGAGAGTCGTGGCTTCTCGGCATTTCCCCATGAGGCAGGGGCTGTGGGAGGGAGAGCGGGTGTGGGGGGGAGAGGGGGTAGGGAGGGTGGTTCGGGAGGGGGTGAGGTGGGAGGGTGGAGCTGGGGGTCAGAAGCGGGAGAAGGAGCAGCAGGCGTGGGCAGCGCCGATGGTGCCAGTGCTGGTGCTAATGCTGGTGCTGGTGGCAGTGGTAGCGGTGGTACGAGTGCGGGCAATTGGCGGTGGCAGGCCGAGTCCCCAGGCGTGCTCTCTCAGCATGGTCACTTTACCGCACCTCCTGGTGCCAATCCTCCTTCCTGCACTCCTCCCTCCACTGCGTCTCCACCCGGTCACTTGCCTCTCTTTTCTGTGCCGTCCCTGCCGCAAGCCCCAGGGGCCTCGCCTTCGCCCTCTTCGACCGTGCAAGCTCCAGGATCCTCCTCCTCGTTGGCCTCGCACGTCCCGCGAGTCTCTCGAATGCGTTATTCCCAGCGTCCAGGGCCCTTCGCTGGCGGGGCCCCTTTCACCCCAGCGGCGGCTGGTTACCCTAGGGAGCCTGCTGGTTACTCTGGGGACCCGTCTACCCCCGCCGGTTTCTCCCCGGATCCGTTCGCCTCTTTTGGGCTCATGGGAAACGCCTCTGCTGCTGCACCTTCCCCTGGGCCTGCACCCCTCTCTCTGGCTTCTCCCTGCCCTCCTGCGTCCACGGGGCCAGCAGCAAGAGCAGGAAGAGCAGCAGGGGGGAGGACGGACATGGGATCGTCAGGGCAGAGGCAGCCAGAGGTGATCGAGTTGGACGATGACTCGGACATGGAAAGGGGACCTGGAGGGTGGGGGGGGCGAGGGGGAGGTGGAGGAGGAGGAGGCGGAGGCGGCGGAGGAGGCGGGACAGCAAGGTGGGGAGGAGGGGAGTGGGAAGGGGCGTGGAGGGTTGAGGCAAGAGCAACAAGGCATGAGGAGGGATGGCACGGGGAGGCGGTGGGGGGAGGGCAGGGCAGGTCGTTTCTAAACCCGCTGGCTGCTCCGTTCAGCAGTCATGGGACAGTTGCAGGTGCAGGGGGCAGCAGAACACCCAACCCCCATCCCAACCTCAGCTCCAATCCTAACCTGGACCCACACCGTAGCTCGAGCTTCAGGCATGGGGCCATGAATAGGGGTACAATGCCAGGAGGAGCATCCAGTGGTTATGCTGATGCTGGTGCTGCCGGTGCTGCCGGTGCTGGTGCTGGTGCTGGTGCTGGTGCTGGTGCTGGTGCTGGTGCTGGTGCTGGTGGGCGTTTGAGTGCTGCGCCTGCGTCAGCAAGGGGGTGGATGGCACGTGGGCGTCCCACAGGACTGGCATCATCGCTGTTTGAGCCTCAGGGGAACGAGGTGAGTGAGTGCGAGACGAGGTGAGTGGGTGCGAGACGAGGTGAGTGGGTGCGAGACGAGGTGAGTGGGTGCGAGACGAGGTGAGTGGGTGCGAGACGAGGTGAGTGGGTGCGAGACGAGGTGAGTGGGTGCGAGACGAGGTGAGTGGGTGCGAGACGAGGTGAGTGGGTGTGAGACGAAGTGAGTGGGTGCGAGACGAGGTGTTGGTGCTGCTGGAGGTGACTCAAGGGATGCGTCTTAAGTGGGAGACAAGTTTTTGTCGTCTGCCTGAGCCCCAGGAAAACGAGGGGAGGGGAAATCTTTGGATTGATGTCAAGGTGGCTATTTTTCGTTGTTTGTACTGCGTCTGCCTTGGTAGATTTTCCATCGCTCAACTGCCATCGCTGCAATGCTCATCTCCCACTGCTCGTGACCCCCCCTACGAAGTTCCCCTTTTTCACTGCCTTTCCCTCCCGGCCGTTCCAATGCGTCCTGCGACCTCCTTTCCCCTCCGCCTCGCACAGCTCTCGCCATCTCTCTGCCTTGTCTCCCTTCTTCCGCCGCCCGCCCCCTCTCCCTTCCCTGCCGTTTCAATGCTTGCTGTCTTCGCCCTCCTCCTCCGCGTCCCCATCCAACACCCGCCATCGAATTCGCCTCCCTCCTTCCCCCCCCCCCCCCTTTCTCACCCGCTCTCCCCTCCCTGCAGTACCAATGCTTGCTGTCCTCCACCCTCCTCCTCCTCTGCCCCCGCCAACACCCGCCATCTAATTCCCCTCCCTCCTCCCTCCCCCTCCCCCCCCCCACTCTCCCCTCCCTGCAGTTCCGATGCCTGCTGTGCCCGCCCTCCTCCTCCTCCGTTGCCTCCACGTACACACGCCACCCCTCCCTCCTCCCTCACCGCACCCACTTCCCTGACCTACCTCGCCTGAGGGATCACATGCTGTTGCGACACGGCATCGACCCCATGCCTACCCATGCCCCTCTCGCCCTGCTCTGACCTGCCCTCTTCCACCGCACAGCACCACCTGCCACCCCTCCCTCCTCCCTCACTGCACCCTCTTTTTTCTGATGTGGCTTGTTAACAAAATCATATGCAACTCGGCATCGAACCCATGGCGGCTAACGCTCCTCTGGCCTTGCTGTGACCTGCCCTTCTCCATCTCTCAGCACCGCTCTGGATATACTCTAAACCCGAAACCTTAAACCCGAAACCCATGCACTGTTATCCGCCCTCCCTCCTCCCCCACTGCACTCTCGTCTGTGGCATGGCTTGTTCCAGAGACCGCATGCTGCTGTGCCATGGCATCGGCGCCTCGGCATTGGCGCCATGGCATGGGCGCCATGGCATCGGCACCATGCCTGTCCATTCCCCTCTAGCCTTCCTCGAAGGTCAATACACCCCTTTGAAGCACCCCTCGGCACCGCTCTCCATCTCTCTCTCCTGCACGACACCCTCTCCCCTGACAAGGCTTGCCTGAGAGACCAGACAAGGTCTGCAAGCCAGCAACGTGGCATCATTGACACTATGGCTACCCATGGCAAGCATGCAACATGGCATCACCCATGCCATGGCTACCAGTGCTGCCCCTTCCAACTATCCACCACTCTCCACCACTCAGCACCCTCCTTGTTTTGTTCAACACTGCCGTGTTTAAAGAACATCCCAGGTACTGTAGCTGCTTCTTTTTCTTCCCAAGAAATAACTGTGTTCTTCTCTGTGTTGTGTGGACGACTCATCGTTTGTCTTAGTGTATGTGTGATGCTGGTGTGCTGCCGTATGTTACACTTGAGACGTTTTTCCTTATCCTCTGTACATATGATGCTACAGCTGTAGAATGGGGTTTTAATATCTCCTAACACATCACTCTATACAGCACAGCTGCACTCCATTTGCAGCATCACTGGTGCAGTCATACAGAGAGCATGCCAGTGAGAAGCATTGCTGGCGGGATACCACCCTACCACGTGAATCTTGTTGTGATATAATTGATACTTAGCATTTTTGTAAGTCGATTATGTGTAGTTAGTGTCGAATCACACTGTAGAAGATAAGTCCGTAGGAGGATGTCAGCAAATAGCGCTCGTCATAGGACAGTCGTTTCAGTCACGCGAACAGTCGCACCCCTTCATTATCATCTAGGGCGCATAGCGCGATAAGTGACGAACAGGTACATTAGCGAATAGGTACTTTGCGTAGAACTATAAATCTCTGTTAGGTCTTTTTCATTATTAACTTTGATTACTCCCAAGTTCACGTACTCAGGTTATTCAACCTTGACCTTAACATTTTACAAGACTTCCGCTGTCTTACTAGTCTACCATTCCAGCAAAGATCCTGGACCAACACTTGAGGATTTGCCTAGTGTTCGCATTTATAGTTTTATACTTAGTCTCTTACAACATCAGACGATTTATTTCATGGTATGAGAGCTATCTGGAATTAAGACTACCGTCAACTATGACTGGTTCATCACCAGCACCATCTGCCGGATCAGTTACTGGGACTACTGGAGCACATGCCTCTACTACGGCCGCTGGTCTCTCAGCCTCTGGGCACTTTCCACCAGCCTACGCTAGTATCGGTATGCAACAGCAGAATCCGCCTTCTGTGAATACTCCAGGTGCTCCATCGACTGCACCTGCAACGCAACAGCAACAATAACAGACGACAACACAGCAACAAGCGTCAGTACAGCCACCAGTTTCAACGCAATCGATTTCATCTGCGTTCAGTGGAATGAGCCTTGACGACTCAAGTTACATGCGTGGAGCTACAACTCCAAGTACTGGTTCGTTCGCTTTCTCACCTTTCATACAACAGCCGCAGTCACAGCAGTTTCAGCATCCTTTCTACATCTTCGGTCAACCCCCTGCTCAGCAGCCACAGCAAGTTCAGCAACAGCAACAGCAACAGCAACAACAGCAACAGCAACAACAGCCGGGCATTGTTTTTCAGCCTCCAAATTTACTTAACAATACTCAAATCAAGACGACCATACCGTTAACGGAGTCGACTTCTACTCCTGGAGCTTCGAGTTTGAGCTTCTGGCACAGTCCGCTGGGCTTTGGCTGTTCTTCACCGGAGAATTCACCTATCCTGTTACGGGAACACAACTAGAGTAGCAGGGTTTCTTGCACACCTCTCTCGGGACGTATACAGTTCTTGTACGGAACTTGTCGCCGAAGGAGCAGCTCGGCGTTCGATCGTTTCACTCAAGTTTTACACCAGCCGAAACTGCATGGAACCATCTGAAGGGGGTATACATGGCAAAGGATACAATAACAGTGAGTACTTTCGCAGCTGACAAGTGTGCAGATGATGACAAATCAAAACGTCATGGACTACGTTAACCGCGTCCGTACACTACGTGACCAACTGGAGAAGAGCGGGGGATACTTCCCTCGTGAGATGTATCTCACAGTTCTTCTGGCTGGCCTTGGACCCGAATAGCGACAGACGCGCGCCTTCCTGCGCATGAATCCCAACCTCTCCGAAGCTGAAATTTCTTCTTATCTTCAAGCAGAGCAGCAATATCTTGACCTGCAGTCACAACGCAACCAGAAAAGGGGAGTTCATTTAAGTTTTTACTCCAATCCAGAAACACAACATCGACATCCACCAAAGTACCCGTTCTACCATTTCTGTAAGAAACCAGGACATACTTACCAAAACTGTCGCAGCCGTCATCAAAATCGTCGCAATACTTCGCAGCCGTATCAACGATCGCAGCAGTTACCGAAGACACAACTGCCACAGCAGCAGTTAACGTCTCAGCAGCAGCAAATACCCAAACCGCCACCAAATCCATCTACGTCGCAGCATCGTCCGCCGGTCTTCGCATCTGCCACATCAAGAAAAGGGGTTTTTGGCTGCGTCACCACAGTTGATGTTTCAGAAACAGATTTCGAAACACGACTTGAAGAAACAACAAGTGCTGAAGGCATTCCTTTACCTCAAGTTTACGCTAACCTTGCTCGCATAATTTCAGGACCAAATACCTGGTATCTCGACAGCTGCTGCGGATGGCATATGTGTTCTGCCGAAACAAGCTTTATCACTTATCAGTGTCCACTTCGTCGTCCGATACCTGTCACAGTCGCAAACGGACAAACTATAATTGTACGATAAGTTGGTAGTGTCATGCTCGAATCTATCGACACGGGATACTCACTTCATGTTACGAATGTTCTTATCGTCGCCGGACTTGGCTTCAACCTTCTTTCCACGGCTCAACTCCTTGCACACAAAATTCGTACACAAGGAAATTGTGAGACGATGGATCAAGAGCTCTGGCACAGTACAACTAATACCTACCTTGGTCGTGCCGCCACTCAACATGGCTTGTCAGTTCTTCAGTTCGCAGCACAGGGAACCTCTGGAGATTCTGAACACGTGCTTGCACTTGGTCCCTGGGATCACCCAGAAGAAACAGATTATCAACATGTGGACATTGATTTTCGCGCAACTTCAGTACCAACAGCTTCTCGAACAGCAGCCGCCGTACTTACCGCGTTGGATACCTGGGAGTTCAATACCACCGATGAAAGCGCCACCGCGTGGCGAACGTTTTATAATACCCGTGCAGCCTTCCAAGGAACTCCAGCACCACTTTGGGGAGAAATAAGTGGTCTTGCCGCTGATGAACCTGACGTTGAAGAAGCCGAACAGGAAGCCGTAGCTGAGCAGCCGAGTCCAACCGTAGCTGTCGCCGAAACACCTGCCAGGACATCAACAGAAGCAGTATCAGGGGTTATACTCGCACCTGCAGCAGCAATATCACAAGTCACGTTACCTCTTCACCATTTCGTCGAAGGAGAAATTGACAAGTCACCAGCCCTTTCTCCTTTCATTCTTTCTTCCTTTTATACTAACTCCGAATTCTACCTGCGATCATCAGGACACAAAGCCACGGAAGATATATGGCATCAGCGGCTAGGACATCCATCACAAGGGATTCTTAATCATTCAATCTGAGCAGCAGTTCTTGATAAAAATAGTTTACGTTTACCTGATGGCACGGAGATGAAGCCGCAATCTCGTCCGACGGTTTGCACCACTTGTCCAGTTGCCAACCTTACGCACGATCCGTTTCCAAGTCATTTTCCCGGCTCAACACGTTATCAACTGATGCAGAAAGTCTACAGCGACATACTCAACTTGTCTGTAGCAGGCCCTAAAGACGAGAAGTATGTGATAACCTTCATCGAAGCGTCTACACGATATGTCTGGACAGCTAACTTACCTGCGCGCCATCTCGCTCACTCCGTTTTCGTCGCACGGCTCGCTGTCGCTGAACGGGAGTCTGGCGCGAAACTGCAAGAATTTTAGAGTGATGGTGCAGGGGAGTACACCAGCAACGCTTTCACAGACTACCTTCAGACACTCGGCATCAAACGGAAGCAGTCTCTGCCGCATGCACACCAACAGATGGGGGTAGCAGAAAGGATGAACAGAACACTGCAGGAGAAGATGCGTGCTCTGCTGACGCAGGCAGCACTTCCACCGCATTTTTGGCCATATGCGATGGACCACGCCGTGCTGTTACACAATCTTCTTTCTTCAACGTCCCTGCCCGAGTTTTCTTCTCCGCACCTGCAGTGGACACGTACATTGGGAAGCACAAAACTTTTACGAGTTTTCGGGTGTGTTGTACAGTTTCGTCCTCCAACCGCAGCACTCGGAAAATTGTATGAACGAGCAAAATGGGGGGTACACCTCTGCATCGAAAAACAGTATCACGCGTGGAAGATTTTGGACCTTCGCTCCCATCAAATCGTTCCATCACGTAATTGTCTTTTCTATGAAAGACTCACCTTGCCCGTTTTTCGTGCCCACCAGGCAGCAGCCGCCAATCCTGCCAGGTTGTTCGAAGGCTCGCGTGCATTTGCAACTGACGAGGCCGAAGCTGATGTACAGGACGAAGCAGTTTCTGAAGCATCCGAAGCTGCCGCAACTGACATTCCCGAACCTGTAACCTTGACTGGCATACCAGAGTTTATTCCGCTTGCAGATGCTGACCCGGATGACGTTCGCGAAGTCCGTCTCAGTTACGAACGCGATCGCCAACAGCAGCCGATGCCCGCCGTCTCTGACGAAGCAGTTCGTGTTACACCTGGCAAAATTGGGGGGGAAGAAGGAGCAGAAGAAAAGTTCGCAGGTGCAAACGAAGAACGTCCGCGTTTTACAGAAACAGGATTGCAGATACAGGGATTTGCAGTAGCAGTACAGTGCAACGACAGTAAGATACCTGAACCGAAAACCGTCCGACAAGCTCTTACGAGTCCTCACCGAGAGAAATGGCACGAAGCCATGGACAGAGAGCTAGCAGCTCTCAAGAATCGCGGAACATGGGATTTAATACCGACTTCAGAAGTAAAAGGGAAGAAGGTACTTACCGGAAAATGGGTCTTCCGCGTCAAGACTAATGCAGATGGGTCGTTTGAAAAGTTCAAAGCGCGATGGGTCGTCCGCGGCTTCGAGCAGACTTACGGCATCGACTATGAACTAACCTTTGCTCCTGTCGGACGACATACAAGCGTTCGGATTCTTGTTTGTGTCGCCGCCTGCCGAAATCTACGTCTTCGCCAAATCGACGTCTCGAATGCGTTTCTCCACGCGCCTGTCGACGCACTCATCCTGGTAGAGTACCCGCATTCTTATACTACTAACCCACCGAGCGTTTGCCGTCTCCGAAAATCTCTATACGGCATTAAACAAGCACCACGGCTCTGGCAGCAGTATCTTCACTCGCAGCTGATCATTGCTGGATTTCGACAGTTACCGCATGATCAGGGAATGTATCTACTGACCGACGGCAGCAACTACATTTTACTTGTCGCCTACGTCGATG